CTGCTGAATAGATTGTGTTATTTGCAATATTAGCAAAGAATTTTCAGGGTAATTGTACTGACAAAAATAATTCCAGCAAACCCACTAGGATAATCCTTCCTATTTTTTCTCATCACTTATTTGACTAATTTGCTGATTGCGAGTCCATTAGTGCTAGAAATACTTATGAAATGGAAAAGCATCGCTGAGTCTATAGTGTGAAATTAAAATTGGCATCTCCCCGTTCGAGATATTGTCATGTTGTGCTTGCAAATACACGGACCCCACTGATGGACATGGATTAAACTGGACCCCCCCCCTTTCATAAAATGCACAAGAATAACTATTTGGGCAAGCCTCCAATGAGTTAATCAAAGCAACAAGATTAATATGATTGCCAATCATAGTAGGGAAATCTGTTCCTTTCACTGAGAACTTACTTTAAAGAGATCTTCATCCGGAGGGATTTATGCTCCCTTGGATGTGTTCATATAACCACCATTAATGTCAATAGGCATTATGCATGCCCACAATGAGGAGGAAAGCAGTCCTGGAGAAGATTAGCAGTTGAGAATGTCTTCTATTTAGAGCTCATCCCAGTAATGCCAAAATCACTTTACGATAGTATCTTCCTCCAAGGTTGTCAAGTGGTTTTACAACATGGGGGTCCAACGGATGTGACTGGAGTAAAACAAGCCCTCAGGTCAATGGGGCTTCTTGCTAAGTAAGGGCAGGACCCAAATTAACGAAGAACTTCAAGGCCTGGCCCATCAATTCAGCTCTGCGCTGAATCTGTACAACCATGAGTTCCCTTTGAGTCACTGACAGCATGATGTGAATACAGAGAAGTCCTCTGGGATGGATCTGACTGCAGGCTCTGGGCCCCTATTTTGCACTGGGAGATGCTGAACCTCCTTGCATTTCACTGCCTTCATTATGCGCGGACAGGATCAGATCCGTGTCCAGTGCAACGTGTAGTGAAGTACGGTGTGAAGTGGTCACGTACAGTCTGTCACCCATTCCAGGTGATTTAATATAGCCGTTACTCCTATATGTTTAACCGCTGCGCCACTTGTCAGGACTGCCATATGTCACTGGTGCCCTCATCAGAAACTCATATTTTATGGCTGTTTTGGCTGTTAAAATTTAATTTGAAAAAATGGCAGGTTTTCCTCTATGACACATGAAATCATGACATCAATCTGCTCTGAAAATAACTCGTAAGGCGTATGTATTAAAAAAAAAAAAACCAACAAAAAACCTTGGAAGAGTCATTGTGTTTTCCCCCTTTGACATCCTCAGCATAGCGTCAGAATATAAAGGAGGAGGGGTGTAGTGTCCTGGGAAGTTTGCAGCACTGCCAGTTAATAATTATATAGACCTTTAAGTCAGCAGACCGGCACAAAAGTTTTTGGCTGGACCCTGCACTGTTTTTATCTCTTTTGTTTCCTTGGGCACTGAATTAGCTTCCAAGTTTCTACCAAGACTAGCCATCGTCCTTGCAATGTGCAATGGTAAAGAGGTCCATGGCTTCTGATTTCTCTATGCTCCTTGCTTGTGGAAGTTTTACATATCAGTTGTTTTGTTCCCTTTTATTTTTTTTTTGTGCAGCCAAATCTTTTCCAAAGGCCTCTTCCCCCAGCCACAGCCCTTCTAGTAGTTATGTGAAGAGCACTTCATCTTCCTCGACAGGCTTCGACTACTCCCACGACGCCGAAGCCGCGCATATGGCCGCCACTGCCATCCTAAATCTCTCCACTCGCTGCTGGGAAATGCCAGAAAACCTCAGTACCAAGCAGCAGGATGCCCCCAGCAAGGTGAGCTGAATGCCTCGACGTGCGAGGGGGTGGAGGCATCGACTGCCAGGAAGCAACAGGAAAACCCGTATCAATAGGGGAGATGCTCAGAGAAAGCCCTTCAGGTGGCTGGGCAGCAGCTCTGCAGAAAAGGACCTGGGGGTGCCAGGGGCCATAAGCTGAATAGGAGCCAGCGGTGTGCCCTTGTTGCCAAGAAGGTTAATGGCATCCTGGGCTGCATGGGTAGGAGCGTTGCCAGCAGATTGAGGGATGTGATTCTTCTCCTCTATTGACACCTCTGGAGTCCCGTGCCCAGTTTTGGGCCCCCCACTACAGAAAGGAGGTGGACACATTGGAGAGAGTCCAGTGGAGGGCAACAAAAATGGTTTGGGGGCTGGGGGCAAGGACTTGTGAGGAGAGGCTGGGGGAAATGGGCTTATTTAGTCTGGAGAAGGCTGAGGGGGGATTGAATAGCAGCCTTCAGCTCCCTGCAGCGGGGTTGCAAAGAGGATGGAGCTGGCCTGTTCTCAGTGGTGGCAGATGACAGAAGGAGCAATGGGCTCAAGTTGCAGGGAGGGAAGTTTAGGTTAGATATTAGGAAAAACTTTCTTACTACAGGAGGTAGTAGAACAGGTTACCCAGAGAGGCGGTGCAGTCTCCATCCTTGGAGGTGTTTAAGACCCAGGTAGACAAAGCCTTGGCTGGGATGATGTAGTTGGAGCTGGTCCTGCTTGGAGCAGGGGGTTGGACTAGATGTGACCTCCTGAGCTCCCTTCCCACCCTCATTTTCTATGATTCTCTGATTCAAGCTACAAAACAGAGGGTTAATTCTCACCTAGTCACATGTGGACATTTCTGCCCTCCTGGCAGTGTCAGTAGCTTGATAGTTTCATCCTGAATTGGGGAGAAATATCAGAACCGTTCATCGAGCAACAAGTTCTGAACACTTCCAAGTCCGAAATACCAGAGCCTGGTGCATTATGGGCAATGCAGTGCAACCCAGGACTGCAGCCCATTTAGACAAGACATCTATACTACAACTCCCATGGGGCACTGCCACTGCTCAGGTGGATAGAGACAGTGTCAGAGTAACCCTAAATAGTTCATGTAGGTTTTCCCAGACTGGGGATGGGAGGGGGCAGGGGACAGTGGCAGGAAGTCATCCGCAAAAATAATGTTCCCTCCCGTGGAAAAATGTCCTCTTTTTAAAAAACATTTTCTATTCAAAATAGTTTGATAGGAAATTCCCACCCAACCCTACCCACAGCCTAAATGGCATTGATATCTTGGACCTTGGCATCACATGGGGCCTGAAACTACAAGGCACAGAGTCTCTCCTTAATGGAAATGGGTGTTTGTATGCATGACTTTAAGAGTGCTTTGCACACACCAACTGCTGCAGCTTCCTGAGCCTGACGAAGGGTTTTTGAACCCGAAAGCTTGCTTAATAACTATTCTCCAACCATTTGCGTTGGTCTAATAAAAGATATCAAATTCACCCAAGGAACCTTGTCTGCCTATTGGACTAACCAGAAATCACTCAGCATCTGGCAGAATGAGATCCGTACTGAAAATCAGGGAACTGCTCACATGCTGAAAAAGTGCATGCTTAGCTGGGTTACAGCTCTGATGTATGTGATGTGTGTTTTGCCCTTTTTTCCCCCCTGAAGAAAAGTGTCCTTGATTTTTAACCTCGAATAGAAGCCAGTCTCTAGGATTGCCCCACAGAGTTTGCAGAGTGTGGCAGGGAGACGCGTGACTGCAAACGACTCCTTTGAGACAAGTGTCGCTTCCAAGCAGGCACTTATGTTGCTTTCGGTGCAGGGGAGTATTCACAGGGGGCATTGCTGAATGCATTTGCAAAAGCTTATCCCCTTCTGCTCCGCACCATCCAACTGATTGTGCAAAGAGTATGACATGCTCATGCCACATGCTCCGTATGGCTTAGGGACCTTCCCACCCTCTGCAGGAAAAGATTTGCTTGGGGAGCTGAGTGCTGCGGCTAACTTGGGGTGTTGCCTCCAATATTTCAGTCTATGGACATTGAGGTGGATGAGAACGGGACTCTGGACTTGAGCATGAACAAGCACCGCAAGCGGGAGAGCACCTTTCCCAGCAGCAGCAGCTGCAGCAGCAGTCCCAGCGTGAAGTCCCCAGATGTGTCCCAACGCCAAAACAGCACCAGTGCCACAAGCAGCACCATGACTTCCCCGCAGTCCAGCCAGACCTCCCGTCAGGATGAATGGGATGGCCCCATCGACTACACGAAACCAAATCGTCAGCGAGAGGAGGAGCCGGAAGAGGTGAGTGGCACCACGCACTTGACCCTTTTAGGATGTGTCTCCACTGCCACCGTGGTCCCTGCCCACCTACCCTCGTCTGCTCTACATGCATCATGGTGGAGATGAGGTGGACATCCCAGGAGCGGCACCTGGGGTCCCTACCTCAATGCTTCATTCCTAGGTTTGGGGGGTGTGGGGGACCTGTTGGAAGTGGTATAGACTTAGCCTCACTCACCGAGGTAGTGGGAATGCTTTATAACACGCTGCTGTAACATTTTTTAACTTGTGGAGAGACCCATGGGCCAGAGGTTGAGCCTCCCTGCCAAAGACTGGTTACTCTGGACCTCCTTGAGCTGGTAAACATCTCAAAGGAGGATCCAGCCCTTCAGTCGTCCCGTGTTTACCAGTTGCTTTCAACTTTTTCGCAGATCATTTGCATTAATGGCAGCCCTGCCATGTATCCAGGATGGTTTGTAATGAATTATTAATACCCAGCATTAACATCTATCCCCGGGGGGTGGGATGGATTCTGTTCTTTCTTCCTTGGCTACCAAGATGAAAGCAGGGCAGTTCTGCAGGGCTGGGACAGGAAGGGGGATGCAGCTCGACAAGGGTGACCTCCACATACATGGCCCAGAAATGTTTTTCTGTGTGAGGTCTTTCCATGGCAGGGCAGAGAAGAAATGACGGGGTGGTTAAGATAGGACTGGAAGATCCTCCCTTGTGTGGCTCTTCACCTTCCTACAAGGAAGAATTTTATAGGACCCAGACTGGAAACCATTGGTTTTCCCTATTTCCTCCTTCGCATTGGTCCAGTGCCCAGCCCAGAAGTATTTGTCCAGCTGGGAAAACAGAAGCAGATACACATATACATACATATATACATACATATATATATATTATAGATATATATATAAATATGTCTAGATATATATAGAGAGAGATGTATGTATGTATACTACAATGCAATGTAGTTGCATGTTATGCAATGTAGTATGTTAAATTATACATACATACATATCTATCTATCTAGATATATATCTATATTTATCTAGATATATATCTAGATAGATATTATGTATGTATGTATAATTTAACATACTACATAGATAGATATAGATATATAGATAGATAGATATGTATGTATGTATAATTTAACATACCACATAGATAGACAGATATAGATAGATAGATATAGATAGATATCTAGACATATCTATATAGATATATTTAGATATATCTAGGTATATGTATATGTATATATAATTTAACTGAAAATTGGGGATTTTTTTAAATCGGAGAAAACCAGGATCCCTGCTGATGAGCAGTCAGTAGGTCCAGGACCTGAGCCAGGTATCGGGTTGCTGGACCACCTGAGTAGGAGGATGGTTCAGTGGTTAGATCACCAGTCTGGGTCATAGGGGATTCAGGTTCACCTCCCTACTCCATAAAGTGATGCTGGACAAGGGATTGTATCTCTCTGTGCCCCCTGTTTCTAAAACGAGGGGGGCAATGCAATTCTTCACCCCATGGGTGAAGGGAGGATAAACACATTCAAGCCTGGGAGTCGGTGTGCTAGAAGTGATACCTTTTGGTCTAATAAAAGATATTGCCTCCAGCACACTGACTGCTTGTATTCTTAGACCGACACGGCTACAACTTTTACTCCTTCCAGACTGGGAGGCACTCAGATACCAGAGTGATGGGACCCGTAGTAGTTTTTAGGCAGGATAAGCTATGCTGGTCCTTTAGCATTGCCTGTGGCCTGAGGATCCATTAAAATGTTTTCCCCGATGATTTCTTACAGTCAGAGCCTGCACCCAACTCTTTCGCCTCCTCTGAAGCAGATGAGCAAGAGGTGTCGGAGGAGAACTTTGAGGAACGGAAATACCCCGGGGAAGTCACCTTGTCCAACTTCAAGCTTAAATTCCTCTCCAAGGACATCAAGAAGGAGCTGCTAACGTAAGTCCCCTCTCCCTGACTAGGAAGCCAAAGCAAAATGTCTGTCATGTTTGGGATACCCGGGAGGGGTGGGAAGGGGGAAGTCCTTTGGAAACATGGAAGGTTGAGCATTGTTTCTTACTTCAGTGATCTTATTTATTCCAAACACTTAAAATCTTTAAAAAAAGCCTCATCCATTGCCCATTTCAGGTGGCTATGATGACATCCCATAGGGTTTTTCTGAAGCAGTGCAATGATTAAAAGAATCCACTCGTGGGTTCGGTTCCAGGAATCATGAAAGCAACCATGAAAATATAATGCTTGAGGGTCTTTCCCTTTAAAACAAATGCTGGTGCAAAGGAAAAGAGATTGCCTGTTTTCCTGCCTCCCCCTGTCTGATGTACTCTTATCCCTTGAAGCCAGTGGTGGTCAAGGGAGTTCAATACCTCCTAGGGGTTGCTCAGAAGCAAGGAGCACCAAACCCTTAGTTGGGAAGCCGGTAAGAAGGCAATCTTGCAGTCGTCCTCAGATAATGGACAGCGTTTGCTTTGCTTTTCAGGCAGTTCATTGAGTACAGCCCCCTTGAAAGAAGCACAGGAGACCCTGAAATGTCTAGTACCGGCACAATGCAACTGCCCTGCATTGCAATCCCAGTCTGAGAGGGACACAAACCCGACTCCAGACCTAAGCAAAATTTGTACCCAATTCTGGACCAGTGCTTTGTAACTGGATCCCCTTTCAATGATAAGATGAGGCAGAAGCCAGGATCTGTGGTGATCCTTGGATCAAAGAGCAAATTCCTATCCAGACCCAAACTTTGCACATTGGACCTAGCTCTAATCAATGGAGCACTGAAGTTCAATATTTAAATGCAAGCTGTAGAGGCCCCCTCCCAAGGCCAGTTTGACTTCTCAGTGGGTCTGCTATTCCTCGTCTTATCTCCAACCATAATTCTGCCCTTTCCATCTGATGGGTAGCAGGACTTTGATTTGCTGACATGTTGCGACCTAGCTTGCTGTTTGGTTAGGCAAATTGGAAAGCTTGAAGGGGAATGTAGGATGCTGGAAGGGATAGAGAGCTGCTCAGGAGCCCCATTGATCTAGAGGAAGAGTAAAATAATCTTCCCTAGCTGGGCAAGAGACAAACCGATCCCTTTTGTGCAAAGCTTTGAAGGCTTTTTTCGGAATTGGTGTGAGCAGCAATGATGACTTGAGGTCTCCTTGACCTTTGGCAATCCCAAGCTGGAAAGAAAGGTGTCCTGGGAAGCGTTTGACTTCCTTCCCACACCAGGCCTTCATGTCCCTTTTGACCCATCTGCTTTGATCTTCAACGAGCCACAGGCAATTCAGGGTCAAACATGCTCATCGAAGCTATTTGAGTCCATGGGGTCCTCGTGCCATCTCCAGGTACCGATGGCCAATATCTGGGGAGCTGCCCCGCCATTCTGCTTTGTTCATAGCCAGTTCTGGTGTCACACGACAATGCGTATCGTCATGTGCGAAGTCACCACTACATCCCAAAAAATAGCGATTGCTGGGGTGATCTGACCCCAGCTGACTTCCTGCCCCTTGGGCGGGGGCTGGACCCGATGATCTCGCGAGGTCCCTTCCAGCCCAAATGCCTATGAAATCTATGAAATATTGTTCTTTGAATATCTGCAAGCTAATGATAGTTTCAGGGATTATTTTCTTTTGTTACTGTGAGAGGGGCTTGAGGTTGATATTTGTCTTTCCTGACTGTATCTTGGTGTGAGTAATCTTTGCATGTGCCCCTTGTCCCACAATGCAGAGGGAGTGGAGGCAACAACAGCAGAGGGTATAAAACAAGTTGTTTTGTGGGGCATCAGAAACAGGATTTCCAGGACCATCAGCATGGACAAACTATGAGGTAGCTTTCCTGCCCTAGTATCAAGAAACTCTCCAGTTCCTGTGCACTGTGTATTGATGTGGGTTATGTGTTTTCATACTGGGGGGGAGGAGGACTGATACCCCCTTCTGCCCCCTCCTCCCCCAGCTTTCATTCTTGCTTTTTCTACTTTCCACCACCCCTCCTGAGATATCATGCTTTGCAACCCTCTCTCTGGACCCTTCCTGCTGCTTCCTGCATTCCCCAACGTTGGACACCCCACGGTGACACAAGACGCTCCCTCCCCGCTGGGGCTGGGTGCGTTGTCCCTGCGGCGGGGTGGGGTGGGCATGCCCTAGCCTTTCCACTTGGGCGTGAGGGATTGGATTAGGCCACAAATTTGGAACGATGACTAATAGCACGTCATAAGGCCAGTCTCTAAATTGAAAGCACGTCCTGTGCCTGGAAAAGTCACGTTGTGGGTGAGTGAGGAGAGATGCCACGCTACTGGAGTGCTGAGGCTGGCACCGTGCCCGCGGCATGGCTGAGAGTTATGCCCTGGGAAGCAGATCTTGCATCTCTTTCTTTGGAGGCACAGGGGCGGTTTTTCCATCGGTTCAGGAAGAAAGCAAACTCCACGCCCAAGTCCCTTACAAGGCTCTTTCTGTTGTTTGCAACGGGGGGCATGAAATAAAACAACGCCCCTGAGAGAACTGGGCTGACCTTTAGAGGCCCCCATGCTTCAAGCGGCCACGGGGAAAGAAGTCGCATTCTTCCCCCCGTGGCACCCCAGAAGCCAGCTGCTTCTTCACCCAGCCACGTGCTAGGGAGGGATCTCTTACCCCTTCCAAAGTCACTGTTTTTTGGTATCCTGTCGCTTGGCCTCATTCCATTAATCATGCGGACAGGGGATGGGGCCATCTCACTTCCCTCTTGGCAAATCTGGATCTGTCCCCGGCGGTGCGGCTCTTGCGCTGTTTGTCCTTCTACAGGACAATGGGACGGGGGGCAACAACTTCTTGCAACTCCTGCCCCACCTTGCAAACCCGTGCCGCGGGGTTTGGAATATAAACCCAGTCCAGAGTACTAATCGTTCCTATGTAAAGTCCTGAATCCAGATGTTGAACTCCAGCACTGCATGGTAGTCTGGGTTATACCCCTGCAATACCATGAAGATATCACCCTTTTCCAGTGCCTATAAATTCCCTTGGAAACAGGGGGAGGGAGACAGATATGAACCCATGCTAGGATAAGCCATCAGCCCACCGTCTCTCTGACACCAAGTGTTCAAAAATCCTGAGTCCAGCCCCCCAAATCATGAGATTAGGTTAAAACTCATGACCTGGAACGAAGAAGCAGGGGTTCTTTATATTTGCTTTTTGGTGTTGGAGCATTTCAGGCTCATGTTTCAAACTCTTCTCTGCAGCCCAAAGTTAGAAACTTCCCTTTCTCATGAGAGCTGAGGTTCTTGGGCCACAACTTGATTCCAGCAGCTGGGATTAATTACCGAAAGACAGATGGGGAAAAAATATCAGGGGAGTTGACAGCCCTGGGTCCGTAAAGTTGGCTTCCCACTGACGCCACCATCCTGGATGTTCTTCTTCTTCTTCTTCTTCTTTTTCTTCTTCTTCTTTCTTTCTTTTTCTGGACAAACAAAGAAAATCTTTTATACTCATCTGTCTCATTTTTGCCAAAAATGTCCTTGAGAGCCACAAAAGTCCTCCCTTTCCCAAACACAGGAAGAGAAGGTTTATTTGTGCATATCCCTTCTGGCTGCTAACACAATAAGCAAATACCAAGATCAAGGCCAAGTTGTGTGGCCGAAATCCAGAAGGCGCCAGGGCTTCACTTCCCCGCAGAGGCCTGGCCCCCTCGCCAGCCGCAGATTTAGTTTTTGAAGGGAGGAAGATTTCCAGTGTCCTGACAGGTGCATGAATCTTTTGGATGAATTCATTTCTTTCTGGCTTTTACATCTCTTGTCATCTTTTTTGTTGTTGTTCTTGTTGTTCAGTTGCCCTACCCCAGGCTGTGATGGCAGCGGACACATCACGGGAAACTATGCCTCTCACCGCAGGTTTGTTGACCTAAAATGCCAGTGTCTGACTCTTAAGACTCTCTTTTTTTTTTAATGGTGTGGATGGTTTGGTTCTCTTTCCTCCCTACCTTCCTTCCCCCATCCCCAATACCCTCCTCTATCTCTCTCAATTTCTCTCTTTTTTCTTCCTTTTTTTTTTGGCTTATCCAGATATTCCATCTCTTCTCTTTCAGCCTTTCTGGTTGTCCTCTTGCTGACAAGAGCCTCAGAAACCTCATGGCTGCCCACTCTGCTGATCTCAAGTATGTTTGCGCTAACCTTCAGTCTCCATTTTTTTCCCCTTGTGCTATGCTCATGCCTCTTCTCTCCCCCTGTCCCCTCCTTTGGAAAAAAAGCCGGTCAAAATCTGCCTGTGCGGGTCACCAGGAAGGGAGCCAAACCTATTCCTGGAGCGTGGGGAGGAAGGAGAAAGGTTAATATAAGTGCACCGATTCTAGCAAAGTCTCATTCTGGAAGGTGACACCTTAGGTAGATCACCAGATATTTGGGTTGGTTTTTTTTTTAACCCCGGGCAGATTTTTACTGGTTATAGTTCTCTTTGCACTTGGTGTCTCTTCCTGACCTCCCCTAGCCCGTGTTGTAACATTATCATCTTTGTCATGAAACATTGATATAGCGCCATCAATTAATACTGACCCAGATAAAGCACATTCCTTAATGATGCGCTGTGTGGAGACGCAGCTAATCAAGTACTTGTTACCCTCGACTATCAAAAGAGAGCCGGCTCTTTGTAAGAAACCTGGCAACCTAACTGCATGCTACATTTCGGGTGATGCTCCGTATCTAGTGGGGGAGATGTCCATTCATTTCACTAGGATTTTTGATTTAGACGAGCGAGGGAAGATGTGTCTGACCATTCATTGGGTCACATTTCAGCAGCCGGGGTCCATTCAAGTCCATTGATTGACCCATAATATTTCATTTGAATTAAGATTGGCTTTGCCTCCCTATACGAATCCCAAGTTTGAAGCCGGCGTTCAAGTATGCTTCCCCGCTGGATATGTTTTGTCTGCATCTTGTCGTTAACCTTGATGGAACCACTGCAAATTTTGTGTCAGCTGAGGGCCTGGCTTGTAATCTTTAATAAGGCTCTTAATGTCATAGAAGAGCTTCTCAGTTCATTGTCCTAATTTCCCTCCCCTAAGGAAAATTTAGGCTAGACTTGAGAAATATTTTCCTTTAAAGTAGCAGGAGTTTTTCTTCCCCCATCCAAAAAAACCCCAACCCCTCCATTGGGGTAGGAGTAGGGTGGGGACTTCTGAATTATGATTTAATATTTGTTTCATGGAAATAGCCTGATATATTTGCTTTCTTATGGGGTGAGTTTTCACATTGGATTCAGCCTTAGCAACAGTTTTCTGCAAACTCAGCAAGGGACGTTGCTGGTTATGATTCATAAAAATAAGTTCATTTCCATTTAAGTAATGGACTCGTGGCGGCTTAAGCCCCACCTGACATCAGAGCCCCGTTGCACGGGCTCAGAGAGCTAACAGAAGAGACAGGCATGGTAGAAGGAGTAAAAAAGTGGCAGTCACTTGTACTAAGGTGACAAAGCCGGGCCCTGGAAGAAGAGAAGCCAGGCTTCCTGACGCCCAGTCCAGGGACGCATCCCAACCCACCTCCCAAAAGAGTGAGACCTGGTTTTCAGAGGAAGGGTGAGGTTTTCAACTCACTACGAGGTACATAACATGCATGAAGGAAGGAGTGTATACCCACTCTGTAGAGAGGGAGTATGTCTAAATCGAAACCCCATTTAGATACATCACCTGCACGTGCATCAAGGCCCTGAGAGTCCCTGGGCCCCTGACAGCAGAGAAGGTGCAGCGGGGTGGGATTCAGCATGGGTGCAACCCACCCGTGTGCCTATGCTGTGGCCAAGGTCTTCCTGCCATGACTCCTCTGCTCTCAAGACCCGAGCTGGCCTGGCGTGGTCCTGCGCTCCTGTGCTGCACCCTCCCGTGACACCTCCTCCATTCGCAGATCAGGCATCGCACAAGTCTGGAGAAGGGAGGTCGAAGGCTTGTTCTTGTAATTCCCTGGAAGCTCCTTATTCCATCTTGGGCACTTCCTCTCCGCCCTCATGCAGGATGGTCCGTCTTTCTCATCAGCTTTGTGCCTCCCCTGGCTAAATACCTCTGAACGTGCTAGTTGACAAAATACTGAGTCTTAGCAGAAACCCTTTAGCAGAGAAGCAAGGTGTCCTTCCTATTCCAGCCATGGCTGCTTATGGCAGAACTGCCATGGACTGCAGTGTGTTCCCCTACCAAGCTATTTTTCTATCGTGACATAGGGATGAGCAAGCAGTTTGGATAAAATAAGATCTGAAACATTGAACTGAATCAAATCCAAACTTTGAAAAAGTTTTGTTCTCTTTTTTTTTGTTTGTTTTGCGTGTTTCTTTTATTTCTTTTTTTTTTTTTTTTTGCCTTTTATTCCATGTGTTCCTCTTGTCTTGACATTTGCCTCTGACATTGGCCCTCTAGTTTGAGCTGGTGCTAGAAATGGAAATGGCCATATAAAGTGTCAGGCGCAATAACTGCATCACAGAGAGGGATTAAAGTTAATGCACCGCTCTGTAGATGAAAAGCAGTATACAAGATCAGGACTAAGTATAATTAGATGTGCCTTCTAGGCAGTTTTTAAAAAAGAATTCTTCACAACAGCTTTTATTTAATGCCGCATCCCCTTGGACTTTGCACACCAGCCCAAGGTCTGGCTACTAGATCGTACCTCCACAGCTAACAAATATGTGAGTACAGGACTTTCTAAAACTGCATTTAATTGCAAACACCTTCGTTCCAAAATTATAGGGGCCACGATGCTAACAATGTGCAATGAATTATAATATAAAACAGAAGCATCTTGGCCAGAACAAAACCTCCTAATGTTAATTTTTGTACTTTGGTGATGTGCCTGGTTGCACATACATCTGAGAAACAAGTTTCAGAGGTATTGCTGATATTTTAGTGGTACTTTTTTGCCCAAGTCCAGATAAGGCTGTGTCAGCACTTCCATTATAAATTCTATTTCAGGGGTTAATATCTCAGATATAAAAAAAAAAAAAATTGCTGCAGGCTGGAACATCCACTACAAGGTCCCTGTCAGGATGATTTGTCTACAGATAATTAAAAATAAAAATCAAATCTTTCCCTCTGCCACTTTCAAAGGTACTGAAAGACAGGAAGGAATTAGAAGCTAGTGTTTTCTTCTTTTTTTTTCTTTTTCATTGCAATGCCAGAACTACAAAGAGAGAGATGTGCTTTTGAATTAAAAAAATGTATATGATCTAAGCATTAGACTGGGGGCTGGTCGTGTGAAAGCCGTCAAAGGGATTTGGACACCTGACAAGGTCCTGGTAACTCCTCTTTCCTCTCCCAGGGTTGGAGAAGTCGGTTGTAGCCGTGTTAGTCTAAGGACACAGGTGGACAAGGTTCTTGGGGTAAATGTGATTTCTTTTATTACACCAACTCAATAGTTGGAAAAATGCTCTTTGCAAGCTTTTGGGCTAGCTTGGTTGTGCCTCAAAGCTTGCAGCAAACATTTTTTCCAACTATTGAGTGGCTCTAATAAAAGAGATCCCATTTACCCCAAGAACCTTGTCTGCCTCTCCCAGTGGGACATTTATGAGGCTGCTGGGTTTGGAGCCCACCCCACTTATAATAAGTGCAATAATTGTGCAAAAGTGTAATAATATAGTGCACTAAATTGGCTTTGGTCTAAATAGGCTGCAGCCCTGTTCTTTACTCAGGCACGTTTCCTGGGAACACGCTCTACGTTTGTTAACTCTACAGGGAAAAGTTGCTCCTGGCCCAGCATCCAGCTCTGCAAGACCCCTTGTACCTGAGGGCAGCCCTTTCTAGACCTGGTTGTTAAGGACGGCTCTTTGCGTGCACAAGCAGAGCTGCTCTGAATTTAGCTGGCACACGTGCGTCTTATAGTATAAGGGGAGTATGGAGCAGTGCTATTGAGAATTATGGCTCCTAGAGGCAGATCTAGATGTGTCATGGTGCTCACCTGCCCTGGGGAGCCAGAAACGGCAGAGACTTCCAGCTCAGGGAAAACTGAAGTCTTGGGGTAATAGAACGGCTGTTTGCAAAAGGGCATGCCCTCTTTCTCCGCCTCTCATGTTCACCCTCCCCTTGAAATGAATGGCAAACCTTCTGCCATTCATTTTGCATAGTCCCAGCAAAACTCTCATGCAGACACGCAGCACTTGACTCCCAACCTGTGTTAGCTAATTTGCAGGCTGCCTTGGAGGTACAGCACTTGCCCTACGAAAGCACCTCGCCTCGCATCTCTCGTGTGTGTCCCCATGACAACTTTTATTTCTGCAGCATTGCTTACAACATCCGCAGCAGATCTTTATGCTCCTCATACTTCATATTCCAGCACCTTTCTCTGCATCTATGGCCTTAATTACTCAGTGCTCAACTGGCTCCGTTATTTTCTCTCTTGCTTGGTAATGGAATATTTTAAACTAATGCCAGCTTCGGTGACATTTTAAATGATCACAGACATGTGGGGAATATTATTTCATCGGCGCTTTAATGTCATCCGCGTACAAGAATGCGGGATGATGCACTTTCAGGAGATGAACTGACCTGAAATATATGCCAAATATTTGTCGTTATAATGAGCAGGGGAACACAAAGGCATTGTGGTTTCTGCACATTCAAAGAAAATGGTGCCAGCGTGAAAAGATTTGGTGGCCCTAGTCCTGGCTCCTAGAGGGAAGGGATCCACACAATCATCTCTACGAAATGTCCCTGCAACTAGGAATCAGGACAGTCATCCTCGCTGGGCTCTTTTCTCTGACACAGACTTCCTTTGTAACTGGTGGCAAATCACTTGACTCCTTTGTGCCTCAGTTCCCCATCTGTACAATGGGGGAAAGCTATTTCTCTCCCTTGTCGCAGCATTGGGAGGCTAAGCCAGTGGATTCGAGTGAGGTCCGGGGGAATCTGCACAGCGAAACCTTTGCAAGACCTGTTTTCTGTGCAGAGGGCTGCGGTCTCCAGAGCGGTCTGTCCTCAGCTGAGAGCACCTCATCAATCTGCTCTGAGCTCTTGCCTGGCTGGTCATACCCCAGCCCAGGGGGAGAGTGTCCCTTGCGGGTGCTTTTCCGTGACCGGACGGCCTTGCCGTTCCTCATTAGGGCTCCTCTGGGCAGCACCCGCTGACTCCCTGGATTCCTTCCTGGGTGTCGTCTGCTCCCCATCCTCATGCATTTCACTCCTCTTCAACCTTTCATTCCCCGTCTCTCTCATTACTCATCGGTTGGTACCTCGGTGCATCCATCCCTGAGCCCCGTGGCCCTTTCCTGAATGCAAGGGGCAAGTCTTTTGCCCTTAGGTCTACCCTCCTAGAGTTCAGCTAGGTCCCAGCTGAAATGCTCTCCCCATCCTCCCTCGGACATTAGCCGGGATGGCTGTCCCTGGGGAAGGAGCTCACTGGCACAGTTCTCCGTGGCTGCAAGGTCCTTCATCCAGGCAGGGTTTCTATGGCTGATCCCTGACATTTTTCCCCCCCAAGGGTGGGAGGAGGGTGTCCAAGAGGTCCACTGTCTCCTTCCAGGTCCCTCATTTTGATCCTGCAACATCTACCTGACCCTCTTTGTCCTCCTCCCTGCCTGCCCCCATGCCCCCCACACATCCACATATGTGTTCAGCTGATGTCTGGGTTTTGTGGCCATGCCCTTACCTGAGGAAAGGGGTATTTCTTTGCTTTTGCCAATGGGCTAGAGCCTTTCACTGTATTGGCGTTTAAACAGGCATCGTTTTTCAAACCACTGCTGTTTGGGTTTGTGGTGTGAATAACTTGGGCTGGGTATTATAATGAACTATTTTCTCGGGGACGGGGGTAGGTGGGGGGGAGTGAAAGGAAACTATTCAGTTTGATGCTCTCCAACTTGGATGTTTCCATCCGCCAGCCTCAAGCCCTTGCTTAGCATTGTTTCTCGTTCCTCCCCAGGTGCCCAACTCCTGGTTGTGATGGCTCTGGTCACATAACAGGAAATTATGCATCGCATCGGAGGTAAGGTCTTGCCTGAAATTATTCCCCCTCCCGCCCCCCATGCCCGCATCTCCCCCCGCCTCCAATGGGCAGAATGATAAAGTTCTGAATAAAACATTATTGTTACTGACAACCGAAAAGCCTATTTTCATCTCTTTAATCTGACTCGTTTTTTGATGTTTCCAGCATCTGATTAGAAGCTCTCTGCACTAGAATAAAAAGACAAAGGGTCAGATTTTGGCTGCTGCAATGTTCCTGTTAATAATCCTACCTATTTATGACTTCTATTATCACTTTAGAACATTAACAGACGAGATCTAAGCCTCCTTTTCAACAATTTCCATTAAACATCGCCGTCTGTTAGCAGATCCCTTCTTATCTAGACACCATTAATTACTATCCATCTCCCTCAAAATGTTTCCCCCCCGCCTTGCTTCTTCTCATGATGTGAGGCTGCGAAACGAGGGAGATCAAAACACTCTGGTAAATTCAAGGCAGAGATATCTAGACGATGCTGTACTTCTGCAAGTGAGACGGGCCTTTTTCTCTTTTCCAACCTAGCCTGTCAGGCTGCCCTCGTGCCAAGAAAAGTGGAATCAAGATAACCCCCACGAAAGACGATAAAGAAGACCCGGAGCTCATGAAGTAAGTTTGTGAGTCTGTCCGTGCAGGATGCGGGTTGCTTTCCATGCAGCCCCTGCCAGTCGGAGTCGATCTGCACTGGCTACACTTGCAGGATCAGCCCTTCGTTGGTATTGAAACACCGCGGCGAAGAGTTGACGTGCCATTTTAATGTTGCCTTTTTCACGTCTGTTCTTCCCCCAAATCTGTAAGAGCGCTAACATTTTGTAGGGGAAACGGGCCATTTGCAGTACTTTTGGTATTCTCCAAATCTGAAGGTTACATCCTCAGCAAATCAGCCGGCTCTATGAGCATCCTGCTGCGTGCGCTCTTGATCCTTCAGGGAATTAATGCTGCTGTTAGCATTGACCCGAAGATGTTTCTCTGGACTCGTGCTAGGTGTCCTTCATGCATGGCTCTCAGCAGCCCATGTGTGTGGCTGAGTGTCTTCAACTCCCATGATTTGTACTGGGGGCTAATGGGGCAGGGGCCCATGACCGCCCTGCATGGGACCTGTAGGTAGTTTGACTCATTCTTGTGGGTACCGTATCTTCAAACTTGGCATTCGGAGCCCTCCCATCTTTCCACTAGAACCAGGAGGTACAAAGGTGGAGAAACATGACTGCAAGGAAGTTTGCAATATATTGCAAACCTCCCCAGAAGTTATTTTCTCAAGTCTTGGGTTACCAATGCTCACAGCTATTAGCAGGATGCCCCTAGAAGGCAGAAAAGGGGGTGGGGTTTTTTTGCTGTTGCTCATTCATTTGCTTTCTTTATAGTTGGTTTGGGGTTTGTTAAAGCTTCAGCTGGATGCATTTGATTAGGGAAGACTATCAGATGTCATTGCTTTTCAAAGACATTTCTAGACATTGCAGTGAGGAGCACAGGACTGCAAGGAAGAGTCTTGGTTATCAGTGATGCTGTTGCAGGCAGCGGTGTCATCTCCTGTTCACATCTCTATTATGCTGTGTTTCAAAACTACTTGGAGATTTTGCCTCCACTACTGCCTGTTCCAGAAACAGGCTCCTTTGGTTAGAAACCTTCTTGCAGCGAAAGGGCTGGAAAAAACCTACCCCCCAGGTGCGCCGTTAGGTGAACCTCAAAACCAAAGACAAAGCAAAAGCACCCGATTTCTTTCTTTCCATCTTGCTTCCTTGCTTTCTAATTTATCTGATTTTATTCGAGCTTCTTAGCTCTTAGGCCACATTCATGATTCATGAATAGCTGAGGCTGCTAATTCTGCACATTAACTAAAACAATTTGTCTAATTCTAAACAGTTTCCCAAAATGGATATATTGTTTGTTGGGCTGTGTGTCAGCGTTTCTCCTCTTGTGGTGCAAAGTTTGACCCTGAGGGGAGGATTGGCAGATTGCAAGTGATTGTTTTGGGTTTTTTTGCTCCTAAATAGAGGATATTTACCTTTCATTTGGGTAGATAAATTAGCCATTTGTGCCCCCTGCTTAGCAGCACAGACAAAAATGCGGGCCCACAAAGTACCTCGTGTGCTCTGCAGTGTTGCAGCATGAGAAGGGGAGAAGGCACATTGCTACTTGCCAGTGGGTGTCTACTCTAAACAGAGATGCAATAACTGATAGAAAGGACATTTAAAAAAAACAAAACAACCAGATGATATTTGAGCCATCTGCTCCATTTTTAGTCTTCAGTCTACAGGAAGGGAAGTCTGTGTGTTAAATGAGCTGTGTGGTAATTAGCAGGAGTTAGCGGAGTTTATTAAAATTTAAGCAACCTCCTCTAGAATCTACAGGAAAACAAATCCTTTTGGACTAAAATGTTCTAAATTGCTAGGGGAAAAAGAAGGAAGACGTAATGTTGTTCCATTAACCGGTGGCACAGGGAGAGACGTGAAAAGTGCTGCCAAAGTGCTGGCTTCCTCAGTATTGTTCCTGTGAGCAAAACTGGCAGTCAGGAAAACCGGGTGTCCCACTGGGTCTAAATGTTGACTTTCTCTTAGTTAGATGCAGGACTGCTAAGATAAGGAGGAAGCTGCATGAGTAAAGACACGGGGCATTGAAATGAAGGAGGGCTGTCGAAAGTATGTACAGGATGCAAAGCAGAAAGTGTCTATAGGCAGCTCTAGCCAGTGCATCCAAAGCTGATATAAATACCTGTATAGACTACAGCAGACATCATTTAAAAAAAAGAGTAATAAGAGTTTGCAGGGAAGGGGTGGGAGGTGGAGAAGAGCCTTCTATATTTGAACCAAAAAAAAAAGCTAAACTTTCACAGAAAACAAAAAGTCCCAAAAATGTCAATTCTGGACTCTCAAAACCTTAGCTTCAACAACACCTTGTTGTTCCAGGCCAACCCGTGTACCTTCCCTAAGATAAAAATGCCATTTCAACAAAGTAAAATGCTTCTTTTCAAGTTTGCATATGACCATTCTTGTTTCTCCCAACATCGACATTATTACAATACGAACGGCATTATAATACCTAGATGCGTTACCAAAATGAATATTTTAAGATGCATCGAAGTTAAAATGAAGTGATTGATAACGGCTCCAAAACATGCTGCAACGGTAGTAGTTC